CATCGTGGATTCAACATTTCTTCAACGATGAGGAAAATGAATTTTCTGTATGGAGTCAACATTGCTATGTCGCTTTTGAACAGTGAATCAATGTTGATATACCGTTGGTGTCAATGTTAATTCAAATGTTGATAAAAATTAATTTTCAACAGAGAATCAATGTCGACAGGCTGACGTGGTTTCGACGTTAGCTGCGTTGACGCTGTAACGTTGAATCAGCGTTGATTCACCGTGAGTGTCCTACTTGGGGTGAGTTTTCAGCCATTTTTATATGAAAATTATTCCGGTATTTTCCATATTGGGACCACGATGCGGTGATGGGTTGAAGACATCTCTCACTGGATGCGAAGAAGCAATCAAGTCATTCAGTGTGAATCAATTCACAGTTTTATTCCTAAAGGCTCGAATGGCGTATTGATAGTCGTCGTGAAGCCAACTGACAATGTGAATCGATGTTCAATGTTCGGAGGATCTCCCCCGGGGGGGGGGGGGGGGGGGGGNGGGGGGGGGGGGGGGGGGGGGGGGCCACGATTCTTGAATTCAGACAGAATTGCAAGACGATGCATGCTGCGTAGGTTACCAATGTAGCAAGGAATCAGTTGGAACACACCTGACAGGTACTTTAATCGTGTGCAGATGCTCGTGAATCATGGAATTTATTTCTCGCTGTTCGTCGCCCAATGTTTCTGCATGTTCAAAGTCAGTGGGTGTTATAATTTCACGAACTCCCTAATTTTTTTCTCCGCAGAAAAACTCATCGATGAGTCGGGTGCGAGAATAAGGAATAAAACAATTGTTTCTTGGAAATTTATTGGCAGTCAGGAGATACAAGGATGGAAAAAAAATTTTCCGTGTGAGGGAGCGGAGCAATGATCAATGATGTATAAGTGAAAAAAAAATTCCCACTGGCGAGGAGGCAGATAAATTGTACAAAATCATGAATAATTTCTCACTTGTGATGGAGCGGAAGAATTATGCAAAATTGCCCAAAAAAAATTCACACAAGGGAGGACGCGGATGAATGACACAAAATTGCAAACAATTTTCACTCAGGGTAGGATCGAGGCAGAATTATGCAAAAATTTTTAAAAATTCTCACAGGTGAGGGGCATATGAATTATACAAAATAATGAAAAATTTTTCTCATAGGTGAAGGCGCAGGTCAATGGTACAAAATTACAACAAAATTTTTAACCGGTGAGGGAGTTGGCTGGATAAACGGTTTAGTTGCGGAGATTATCGTCCACTTGATGAATTTTTCGTGATAAGGCCAAACAAAATGGACCCTTCTCACCCGGTACTTGGAATAAAGTCAGGAGATTGGAGTTTCGGAAGTGGTTTTTAATACAGAAAATGAGGCTATGTGGCCGAATCAAAATGGAACCATGAGAGTGGCATCGTCGAACAACACTGACAGTCGTAAAACACCTCTAGGCGCGTCTCAGACCAAAAGAAACAGGTGATAGGATTCCAAGGGATGCCATGCCTTGCAGGCTTTGCACCACGTCCTCGGAGCGAGGATTGGCAACGGGGACGGTCAGGACTTGTGCCGATCTCATCTTTGTTGAGACCATTGTCAACTTCCTTGGAGTTTTGACATTACCATACTCTGGTCCCACTCGTTGCCTATGGAACTCGTGAATTCACTTGGAATGGGTAGGTTTATGATGATGTATTTACAAATGGAATTTGATATGCTGGGAAAGAGACATATCGTAGTAATGGTTCCATCCGGGCCGGTGAAATATGCGAATAGTCCACAAATGGATCTGATCTGATGAGTCGAGTCTCTGGAAGATAGAGGTAACAATTTTGACGTCTGACGTCACAGACCATTCACTAATTTCACCGACTCGGATGGAATCCAGTACTACGATATGTCGTTTTCCCATTCATTTCTTGAACCTATTCATGGACCCAATCCCAGTGAATTCCCGGTTCCACAGCCATCAGAGCGACCTGGCCTCGTCTGACGATGGTGGTTGTCACAACTCTAAGGTTGTATCTGAGATGATGTAGTCTCAGCAAAGACAAGATCTGCACATCTCAGCAATTCCACAAGAACCCACATTCAGATCATTTGGAAGCCAACATGGCCTTCAAAGCTCATGGCTGGAACGCATTCACCGCAACATACAGAATTGTCATGATAACTTCATCAATTTGTGGATTAACTCCTAGAAGCGTTTTAGTTCTGTCAGCATCACTTGACGTGCCTTATTTTTAAATATCTTTTTTATGTATTTATTTTTTAGTTAAACCACGTCCGAACCTTCCAGGCTCCTGTATGGAGATGAAATGAATAATTTTGTTCATTAAGTGTATAAATCCAGGTGAGAAGGGTCATATTTCTCTCGAAATTCCCTTTCCCCCCTCCCAGTTTCATATGGTGTGTTTGTCTTGAAATTTTTTCATTTTACGAATGTTAATTTATTAATTTCCATTTTTCCAACCAACTCACCTCACCGAATTATAAATTGCCGATGCTAGAGACCTCCACCTCCAGAAAATGGGATGCTGATGGATGAAACGGGAATTCAGAGGTTCGCCTCCTGCAAGAGATAGATCCATCCATTTATCCAATGGCTCCTTTCCAGCTTTTACGAGTTCTATCTATGACAGAGAGCAGCCAAAATTATACAGGATCGCATCAACAAATTTCTTATTAAAGTGGTGTAGAGCGTTAGTTGATTTCAATTCTTTTTCCCAAAAGAGGGATTTTGGACATTGAGAACCGAAACGAAATGCGAAAAATATGGAGGCTCCAGACCGTCCGAGACAACGGAGGCGGTGCAGACCGAGGCGGTGACGATTCACTCGCCGTCGGACTCGGCAGTGGGACCATAGATTTGGGAGAACTTCCCCCGCCTCGGGGGGAACGAGCCGCCGATGGACGCAGCCTCGTATTCGACTCGGAAGCCGATCCGGGATCCGGCGAGCGTGTCGATGGACATTGAGCACGTGAGCTTGGCCCCGCATTCGAGGAAGTCCAAACGGAAGGTGATCTTCTCTTTCTCTCCGGGTTCGAACTCCCACTTGTAGAAGTATTCCACGTTGTGAAGGACTATCGGAAGAGAAGAATTCACTCGTTACACTTGGAGTGGATGTGGGAGTATTTCCACGGGGAATAAAAAACCAAAATTGTTATTTTTTGGTAACTGGAACAATAGAATGGTGCTTCGTGATAGGAGCGATAGCCATCGTTGGCCAATTGTAGCGTGAGAGAGCTCACTGATGTGATCTTCGTCAGCATCTCGTGGTCCCGTCCTGGGCGAAAATCTGAACAACAGCTGGGACATGTGTTCGACCAGATCGGGATCCACGAGGAGCCCGAACAGGAGCTCCGGGAGGCGTGGTGTAGACAGAAACCGATTGTGGGCGTGGTCGTCGAGCCCCAGGGGAGGAGACGAGATCGGCTCTGGGGAAGAAAAAACGTTTTTGAGAAAGTTCCCGTTCCTTCCCTCAGACGGGAAGCTCCGCGCTCGAACGAAGAAGGCGAGGCAGTTGCAAAACTTCCCATCGTCGAGCGATACATCACATTGAAAAAAAAAAAGAACGAGAAGGGAACGAACACCTACCAGATGGAAGGCGGCTTTGGTCTTCTTGGGTTCTTTCGTCCCCAAGGTGGTGTCGCCTTTCCTCTCTCCCCCGTCGGGGGAAGCAAGATCGTAGAAGGAAGGCGGCCTTACGGCCCACCCACCTTTTCATGCGGCTCACCCGATCCATATATTCCAAATGAATGAAACGCTGGAAATCTGATCGGTTCTGGGCAGAACTTTTCTCTTTCTCGTTCGGGGGTAGGTCTCCAGGCAACGAATCCACGATTCGTGACACTCTGGACCTTGAAGTAAGTAACAAGGTAAAAAGGTGAGACTCCACTCTTTTATATCTTCTGGTTTTGTATAGCCCTCAGCTTTCTACTTTAATCCGTCACTCCATGTACAAACTACGATTTTGGTCCTTGAGATTTTTCTGCACTGTTCATTGTCGGAATCATTTCTTTCAACTGTACGAGGGGAGTTCGATGAGTTTCAAGAATTAGCCTAGTACACATGTCTTGGACTGATCTCAAGATTTTCTTTTCTTTAATAGCGATTCAGTGATTAGTACGAATTTTTTAAAAAGAGCTTTTGCCCGTTGTGAAGACTTGTGGTGCGTAAAAACGGCGAAGTACGAACCTTCGCATATAGTTTTTTTTGTCGATTATACTATATGGAAGTGCTGGTACTAATGGCAGCATCCCTGGTAAAGTCACCGGGACAGAAGTCGGCTTTTCTCCAGCAGGTCAAATTTAGAACCATGCCAGAAGGATGATTCATGCGAATACCCAAAGGTGTCAGAAAATATGAACCCAGAATTATTAGTTTGAGGTGGCCGATGCCTCCAAGAAGCATTCGAATTCGAAGTGGCATTTATATCGAAATCACCCAACATCAAAGGACGATGCATTCGAGTTCGTTCGGAAAAAGATCGAAGAGGTATAGAAACAGAAGGAATAATGAGGGAATAGCCTGTTCCCAGATACTGAAAGCGTCATATCCGTATTTAATATAGTATGTCACTTTTTTTTAAATCACTTAGCTGCATTACTCTGGACGTTCCCAAATGTATGGAGTGGAGTCCTCGTGCCCTAGGTGAGGTAATGAGTAGAGGAGAAGAGTTCCCCAGTTCCCACGCTGGGCGGCCCATAGCGGGCCATTCTCTCCTTCACGCCCTCGTCCTGCCCTATGTGCAGTTTGGCTGAACCTTCCGCCGGGCAACACGTGGGCGCGCCGAGTGCGTCCCGATCTGAAGTCAGCCAGTTGAGTCACCGGTGCCACACACAACGAACGGTGCTCCAAGGGGACGCTTGCTCACTGACGTAGATAGGACATAAAGACAAAGGCAAGAAAGGGGGTAACTAATAGGTTATTTAAGTGCACAGTTGTTAATGTTGATCTTAGGACGTACCTTACCTCCATACTTGGAGTCAGCAGATCGGAGAGACGCTTCTGCTTTACTAAATTACCATCCATCTAAAGAACACGCAACCTTGCTGAATATCAACTTACCACATTGGGTTTGACCCCCCCCCCCCCCCCATGTAGCGAGCATAGGTGCCACATATCTTGTGACCCTCTGGGGTTCGCTACATTGGGTCGCATAAATAGGGGAAGAGTGCTCGATGGGTCGGGACGTAGGATAGGTTGAGAACCACTGATGTAGATACTTCGAATGCATTTTCATTCCAACAAAAAAAGTTTAAACCCTTTGGTGATTTGTAAGATTATTATTTATTCTTCAAATCACAAGATTTTGGAACACTGGTGATATATTTAATTGTTCTGCAAAGCACAGGAACGATAGACTCTCGCTTTCAGCCGTCGGATGACATGAGGACTTGGGAGCCTATGGAGCGGTATAAGAAGTAGTGTAACACATTTGAAAATAATATGGTGCTCCATATTAAGCTCATGATAGCCATTTGTGCCCAATGGGTGGACCACCATGCCCCTACTTTGCTGCTTTTTGTCCGCACTTATCGACTAGTATACCCTACCTTCCTATTTTTAATAGTGAAATAGCGTATGTGCTCACATGATTTTTTTTTCCAAAGCCATGCAAACAAATTTCAAGCCATGTGATTCTCATCTTAAGATGTGTCAGCTGGGGTACGCCTCATAGCATTACTCTCACTGAGCTGAAAATTAATTTATGGGAAAGCTCACTTAATGTACTTTTCTCATGGCAGCACATGGCAATGCATTGACAGTTTCCTTAAGGTCATCAATGCACATTTCCTCAATGCTCTCAAGTCATAATTCGTGATAAGTAATACAAAACACCAAAATTCAAAACACATGAATGTTGAGTTGAATGCATACTTAATAGTCTGTTCAACCTTCAGGTGTTTAGGTTTTGCTGTTTTCCCCTTACCTATGCTGCTTAAAGTTACATTTTAGATTCCAAGATAAACAACTTCGAGACAAGTCTTCGGAATTGACCTAGACAAAAAGTAAAAATCCCTTGACACTTGCTCAAAGTAGGAGAAATTTGTTTGGCTTTCAATAGTTTATTGCAGTTTAAACTCAGTACCACAAATCCAACATGCTTTACAGTACATCATGATATTAAAAAATTCTCTACAAGTGGCAGAGGTGAGTAGCTTAAAACTTGTTCTGTCAGAAAATTTCCCTTGTTTACTCCCAAAGGGCTGAATCAACAAAGTGAAAGAATTTTTCTTTCTTTCTTCCTTCATTTCAAAAATATTATTTTCTCCTGCTTCATACAAGTTTACCTCATGTTAACTTCTTCAGGGATAATGGCACAAATGTGAACGTGTGATTCACTGCATTTTAAATTGGTCAAAAACTGAAACCCAACTGCTAAGATGTCACAGATATTGATATGTTGGGAATTTTCATTGCAGTAGGTATCAATGTTCCCCCAGCTTACAAAGTAATCTGGACTCTGCTCAAAGTACTCAACACCTGTAAATTTTTTTTCCCATATCAAAAAATTAATCCCTAGAGAGATTAAATACACCTGCCAACTTCCAAGCAATTGAGTAATTTAAACACTTGGTACAAATCATTCTAAAACACCCAATAAACCTTCATATCATGAATGCACATTTAATTTATTGAGCTGACCAAAACTTTGAGACTCATCTTTCAAAACTCTTTCCCAAAATGTTTCCAACAAAACAGGGACATCGATGTCATCATCCTATGTTTCTCCTGGCACCAGTTATCATAGATTCATCATATCCAATGCTGGGGTCCATTATTAAATACAGAAGACCCTGCTTAGCTTTGAAGACCGAGTCATTACCCATCCTTTACCTTCTTAGTGGCCTGCAGAATCATGATCTCAATAATATTTTCACATTCCAGTTTTCTCAAGGTAGCTGAAGACCAACTCTCCAGATCCTATGAGGAATGGCAATTGTCTTGCATATGGTCACAGGATGGCAAAGCATGAATGGGGAAAATAACAAATAAGCTCAATATGTCATCACATTTTTTCGCAGTCTTTGTTCTTATGTCAGATGCTCAGAATACTTCAGCTGGCTTTCTTTTCCTCAGGAGCCAATGGAATTTCTGGTCTCTCCTGCAAAGACTGTAAAGAAAGAATCCTGATAAGAACTGATTACTTCTCCAAGGAATCATGCAAATAGAAAATGGAGAATTGCAAGGTGCTTTTTTGAGAAGGAAAACTCCAAAAAAACTTTTTTGAAACATCCAGAGCCTATTGGAATGGATTGGCAGGAATTATTAATTGTAATGGTAAAGCAATCAAAATTCTAGTCTTAGGCTAACACTATTTTTTAGTTTTGAGGGTTAGTTTGATTCCAATGAGAAGCAAAATAGTAGATATCAATTTAAATGAAAGCCAATGCAGAGCCTACACAGACTTCTGGAAAACTTCTGAGAGCCTTGAAACCAAACGGTAAAGTCAATAACCTTGCATTATGCATGAAAACTATTTCAAAATAAAAAGTTCATTGAGTATGCTTGAATAAGAATGCCAATTCACCATGTCTGTCTCCTCTCCTGTGCAGTCAAACCTGCTTCCATGGAATCTGCCTGCAAGATTGACCTTTCAAGGCGTTTGTCACCTCAACCTGAATATAGGGGAATAAAAGTCATGAACTTAAAGCCAGTGAAGAGAAAAGAAGGAAGAAGAAAGGAGACAAAAATGATATGATTGGGATGCTTGATGCCAAAACAAATGAAGTGTCAAAGCTTAATTTATTTTTCTTCAAAATTTTGTCCTTAATGAAGAGAGAGTTCTCCAGTTTTCCTGTCACTCAAGGTCTCATCAAATAAGCAGGTTAGCAATATCTCTAACTCCATTTCAGCTGTGCCATACCTTATCTCCACTGCTATCCTCCCTGTTGTCCCATTCATGTGGCTCACCAGATTGGTGCATCAGCACTGGGGAGATACAGTTGGGTCATAGGCTGAGCCTCCTCATTTGGGTTAAATTTGAGGACTTCCTTCAGTTTATTGCATTCTAGACAAAGCCTTTCAATTAAATGGCATCTGATCATGAAGGCCAAGCAAAGAGCCTTCTTGCATGATGCAGTCTCTGCAACAAGAAAGAAAAGCACCACCTATGTTCATACATTCATTCAACTCACATGAATTAACAAAAAACTGCATATTGGCCAAGTGGCAATCTCCAGGAAAAGCATTTCAGAAAGACCCAAAGTCTACTCAGAAGCACTGAGAAATTTTTAAAAGCACCAAGTTCAGACCATTTAAAACTTAGTCCATCAAACTGCTCCTTGAAGAGAAGTGGAATAGATGCAGATTCAGCAGATTCAAGAAAAGAGACTGCATAATGCAAAAAAAAAAAATTCTGACCAGACTTGCTATTAAGTGATACAATGGAAGGCCCTTTTCATTGTGCCCAGCACTCATCTAAAAAGTGTATTTAAAAATCTGATGAAATATCCTGGGAATGGCTCATAAGCAATCATAATAGGCAGTTGTAACAGGATTTCTTTTCCTGTCTCTTATGCAATCAGTGAGACTTCTTTTGGTTTGGTAGGCAGACATACTTAATCCCTCCTCTAACCAATCTCTTCCCATTATTCACTGTAATAAGACAGGAGACCCAAAGACAAACTTGTGATCTGATGACCTTGGCTTTGATTGCTAAAGAATTCCCTGTCATATTTCATATTGAAGGTGGGAAAAAAATTATAACAGCTGAACATAATGAAAAATGCAGTATCACTAAAATATTAATTTCTAGGAATGAATGAAATGCAATGAGCAAATAAAAAAAGGAAAACCAGAGATGCACGGTAGATCTTCAGATGCCATGGCCATTCATGCTATTTATGGTAAAAGGAGGATCTTCAGCTTCTATCATAGGTCATGGCTTTGTATTTATATGTGACAGTTAATATTAGGATGTTACCGATTATTTATCGAAGCCAAGTCCGTATTGGTTTCATTAACCGAGTAATTAATCGAAAACCGATACCCAATGTTCCCTTTTTAAATGCCGGTTTTTAGTGGTGCTTGAACAACAAGAATAGAATAGATGGTAGGCACAGCGGAATGCTCTGAAAGAAAGTCAAGAAGTCAAGGGCAAAAGCCTTCCGTTTCAAAAGTATTTTTAATGGTTCGACAATAGTTCAAGCTGTCCTGATTGTGACCAGCAGGCGGTCTGGATACCTAAAGAAAAGGTAAAACCACGGGAGAGACACACCGCGAGGGATATGTTGGATACTTTCGTTACTTCCGCACACTGAGAAGGGACAAGTCCACGTCAAATACCAGGTGTGTGCATGCGCGATCGTCCGGCGGGAAATTTCACTATGATCCGGCATGAATTCCAAAATGAGGTCGAGTGACACTTGTTTAGCTGCGTCTTTCCTCCGACAATCCGTAATATAGGTTATCAGTATCGTTCTAGTGTTCGCGCTTGTGCTCTTTTCTTGCTCTGATTGGGGCAAAAAGCTGAAACCTCAGTTTAGTGAGATGAATGAGCCTTTCTTCCTAGCGCCCTGCTGCGATGAAACGAGGGGAAGGCCTCCCCCCACCTCTCCCCTGTTCCGAAGCCGATTGGCAATAGCTGTCCTCTTTCTCCTTCCGCGCCCTCGTCCTGCCCTGTCGCATGCAGTCTGTATCGAGTCAACGGTCGCGCAGTGGGGTACAAAAGTCAACCGCTGGCTGTCGAAGTAAGACAATCGTCCGGATATCAGTGAAGTGGTGGTGTTTGGAGTGGTTCGAATCCATACGTATTGCCTGTGGGCCGTGGTTCTCCCCAGAGCCTGGAAGGGTTAACCTTGGCCCATCACCCCTTATCAACGTGAGGCAGCTTTCCCTCATTTTACTTTCCCATCATATTTTCGTGATTGATTGCACAATAATCAGCGCATTTGTTAACTTTGAATTGATAGCGTACCTTCTATCTCCTTGTGGAGTCCTGGTTGATTATGAATTTGTCAAGGAGTCAACAGGTCTCAAGAGAGACTAAGACACTTCTGCTGTGCTCAGAGTGCTCTACTATCCCGCATATTCAATCCAGAACGAACATGCAACCTCTCTGCTATCATTTATAACCAATCACCTCGGATTTGACCTCATGTAGTAAGCACTTTTTGTTACAAAAGAAACCTTACCCCCACTCCCCATAGGAGTCTGTGGTGTGCCTTAGGACAGGTAACTAAAGGAGGTTTCAGCATTCAGACTTCATTCTTTTGTCTTTATATGGCCTGGCATGGGTTGTGTGTGTGTGTGAGACAGAAATCATTCCCTGACATACTTTCTGAGGATTCTGGCTTCTGGCACAAGAGAAAATGCTATGCCAACTTTCAGGCAGAGATGGTATCTACCCATACTTGCTTCACTTCTTTGTGACTGACTTCCATTTAAAAAAATCAAATATTGAGGCTCACCTTATTCCATTTCCCTTCCTTCCTGAATAGTTATGTAGGTTAGCATGTAATATACTTGGTCATTATGCCTTTCAGCCCCATGGTATAATGACACTGGACTCTGTGAAACATATTTCATGATTATTGGTATAGGTTATGTCAGACCCCTCTTGATTATCATTTTATCAGATATCTATCAAAATTCCTCATCAGAATCATTCCTAGTTAATATATTAACTGAGCTTGTGCTATCAGGGGTTCAAGAAGGTCATGAACTCATAGAAAGAAGCCTGTCAACTTGTAAGATCTGGAGAACTTTTGACTTTCAATTGAGTGCTTAGGGTAATGTACCAAATCAGTTGCTTTGATTGGAAAGCATGACATATGCATGAAAGCATGACAAATGCTTCATGTCTTTCATGGAATGAAAGACATGAAGCATTTTATGTAAGTTGATGAAACATCATAGTACAGGTCTTGTGGAAATGGCACATAACTTTTTCATGAATTCCAAGGTGCTTTTGGAGTAAAGCAGCTGGAAAGCCTCCCCTCGGAACTCATTGCATTTCATTGTCCAGATGAATCAATCAATTCTTCTCACCTGGAGAGCAGGACAAGAAGAGCCACTGAAAGCTGCCTCATCATGCTGTGAATAGAAAATAAAGAGCAAGGCTGAAGATCTGTTTATTCTCTGAGCATTCTTGATTCACCCATTAAGATTTCCAAGAATGGTTGGTTACATGGATAAAAGGCCAATGGTCCAAGGTCATGGTATAGAGATCCACCTATATCAAATAAGTCACCAATATTATAATTACAGCAGTGAAATTTTTAATTTTCATGAGGTGAAGTAATTCATAAAATTATGAAAAATGCTGAAGGGAATTTACTTATGATACCTGGAGGTCTAGTGAGGAGTTTCACTGACAGAAGCCTACCACTGAAGTCAGAAATTATTATCATGAGAATATCAATTTATGTTTGCATAGGAAATGTATTGCTCTTTCTCAAGTTTATAGTCCAATTTTGATTTTCGAATTCGTATTTAACTTATACTCAAAATATAATGGGACAAAACAAAATGCAAATCCCCGAGGAGAATTTCGCCATGATACATATGTCATACCTTTAAAGATTTTGCTGTAAGATTGTAATGTCAATCATCTTCATTTTAGAGAATGTAGATTCTTTTCAGACTGGTTGACAGCCCAATAAACAAATGGCCAATTTTGTGAACTTATGAAGGCCATTTTCAGTGGGCAATTTGCTCTTCTATGTGACTTGGTGGTGAGAGCACTTGGTACACTTGCATGTGTCTGATTAAGGCCATAATGCACTTTGCATGCTAGTTTGCCATGCATGCATGTCTCCTTATGTGCTAACAATGAATTAAATTAAATGCTTGCTCATATATTTGGAGAATCAAGGAAATATCCAATGAATATGGTTATATGTGAATTTGATCTCGCCAGAATCCATACCCATGCATTTTATTATCCTTCGATCATGTGCAGATCTATTAGTTCTGACATGACTGTGCCTCAATTATGTGATCTGTGCAGACGTCCAAATTAAACAGATTCCAATTCTGCATGCAAGACTTGCATTTTGTTTGGATCTCTGTAGGGATGCGTTTGTGTTATACTTTAACCTACCTTCTCATACATTCTGACACAGCACACACTACGTGTGGCCTGTCTGAAGCGGGAAGAAACGGGGGAAAGTGCTTGACAAAGAAATTGGAAAGCCGATTTTCTTAAACCATTTTTATTGATCGAGTTTACGGGCTAGGCCAGCGAGCAGAAAGGGAGGCAAGCGAGGGTAAAAGTAGCGCATTGATAGTGCCCGCCAGAGAGAAGCAGTCGATGGTGTTCATAATAGTCCTCGTCTCGCTTGCGCAAGTCCTCCATGCTGTGGAAAGGAAATGCCCTCCGCCAATTGGCGAGAATGCAAAAAAAAGGAACCCAGACTCGTGTAACATGGCGACTCTCTTTTGTGTCCCTTGTTTACAGCTTCAGATACCTGGTGCAGCCTATTTCGTATAGGCATATGTAATCTCAGCGTGTATTTCATAATTGTTAGTGAAGTAGCGAACCGCCGAAAAGGGGTTAGAGGCATCTCGAACCTAGCCATTGTATCATTGCGCGCACACCCCTACACTGAAACCTCTCAAGGAGGAGGCACGCACCCTGCAGACCTCCTCCATAGCTTTGTTCATGTTGACTCGGTGGAGGAAGGGGAGGAGCGGGGCTCCCACAGACCGGGGAGGGGGGAGATACGTGAGAGGCGTGGTCATCCGTACGTGACAGCGCCACGAAAATTTCGGGAATGTGTTCCTTTAAAACTATAACCTTGTCCTGTGAATAAGTAGCCTGAAGCGGATCAATCTTCACAGATCCAGCCTTGCAGTGGGGGGGAAGCAAGCCATTTTAATCCCAAGTTGCAGATATATAGGCTAAAGGTGCACCTTGGGATTGAGAGAATTAGTTTCGTTGTTTGTCGCCCTGGGTCAGGTTCCTTATCTTCTGTCTTATCTCTTCTCAATAGAGTGGGAAAAGAAAAACACTATCGAAGCTGCGATATGAAAGGATGACAAGTGACGGGTCCCTATGTCGTTGTCCCTATTCATATCTGTTCTTTGAAGAATTGTTCCGATTTGTCTGACATTCCGTGCTTATCATGTTCGGTGCGGAGAATCCATGGGGAAGGGCGGTAGTCGGAGGTTGGAACCCCCTACGATGGGAGTTAACCTTGTGGAAAATTATAACGAAGTGGAAATTCAAATTAATTTGATGGGTGCTTAGAGAGACCCATTCTACATCCACAATGCTATCGTGATAGCACTTCATTCAATTTTCGTCTCCTTCATAGAGAAGGTACTATGGGGTGATTAAAATTTCAATTAGACAATTACATTTTGCAGAGTTTATGGTACCAATATTTCGCCGAAATTTTCCATTGATAGCTGCTTAGCAGCGCTGAGAACATGGACATCGACAGACCTTTGCCTTCTATCGTCAACATCGGCGGCAAAAGTGATGACTAAGGTATCCTTTCTAACCAAAATGGCTAAAGGTGTACTGGGCGCGGGAGCTCTTAATGCAGGGGTGTTAAACATACGGCGGTCTTTTGTAGAAATTTCTGCCTAGATTGACTCTTGGTACTCTCCGCGCACGAGCCTATGAGCGTGGCCTGCCGACCGATTTGAGTTTGGCACTCCTGGCCTAGAGGGTGTGTCGAAGGTGACATCATGATATACCAGATGAACTTGATATCATTACGGGTGCCGTCCGTTTTGAACCTAACGTTCGTGACCCCGCTGTAAGAGGACGAGATGAGAAGTTCATACTCGCNCAACTGAGCCACCTCCTTCCCCTCCTCGCCCCGAGGGTGTCTGGCCCCTCCCCCCTCTATGCACTCTCCGCACCAGTAGGCATGCACTGTCGCGGTGCTTTTAAAGCCCTTACACAAGGAAATTTTGCATAACCTTGTCCTGTGAATAAGTAGTCGGAAGCGGATCAGTCTTCACAGATCCAGCCTTGCAGTGGGGGGGAAGCAAGCCATTTTAATCCCAAGTTGCAGATATATAGGCTAAAGGTGCACCTTGGGATTGAGAGAATTAGTTTCGTTGTTTGTCGCCCAGGGTCAGGTTCCTTATCTTCTGTCTTATCTCTTCTCAATAGAGTGGGAAAAGAAAAACACTAATAAGGGAAATTCAAACCACTATCGAAGCTGCGATATGAAAGGATGACAAGTGACGGGTCCCTATGTCGTTGTCCCTATTCATATCTGTTCTTTGAAGAATTGTTCCGATTTGTCTGACAATTCCGTGCTTATCATGTTCGGTGCGGAGAATCCATGGGGAAGGGCGGTAGTCGGAGGTTGGAACCCCCTACGATGGGAGTTAACCTTGTGGAAAATTATAACGAAGTGGAAATTCAAATTAATTTGATGGGTGCTTAGAGAGACCCATTCTACATCCACAATGCTATCGTGATAGCACTTCATTCAATTTTCGTCTCCTTCATAGAGAAGGTACTATGGGGTGATTAAAATTTCAATTAGACAATTACATTTTGCAGAGTTTATGGTACCAATATTTCGCCGAAATTTTCCATTGATAGCTGCTTAGCAGCGCTGAGAACATGGACATCGACAGACCTTTGCCTTCTATCGTCAACATCGGCGGCAAAAGTGATGACTAAGGTATCCTTTCTAACCAAAATGGCTAAAGGTGTACTGGGCGCGGGAGCTCTTAATGCAGGGGTGTTAAACATACGGCGGTCTTTTGTAGAAATTTCTGCCTAGATTGACTCTTGGTACTCTCCGCGCACGAGCCTATGAGCGTGGCCTGCCGACCGATTTGAGTTTGGCACTCCTGGCCTAGAGGGTGTGTCGAAGGTGACATCATGATATACCAGATGAACTTGATATCATTACGGGTGCCGTCCGTTTTGAACCTAACGTTCGTGACCCCGCTGTAAGAGGACGAGATGAGAAGTTCATACTCGCGCTGCAACCATTCAGGAACTTCACTCTTCAAAATTGATTTGCGGTTGTTGGTTCCCTCATCGAAAAACATAGATAGAACCCCATCACGTCCTAGGTCGAGGAAACGGGGCTCCCAAGTGTTGGTGGCTCCACTTAGTGATGAAACAATGCTTGAAGGGAGGGAGGTGGGGTGAGGGGCTGTACGGCAGATACGAGGGAATTGAGTCGCCCTAGCACAAGTGCCTGATTGGGGGCGTGTCTTTTTCTCCAGCCGCTAGCAGCTGCTAGCGAAAAAGACGCGTTGGCTAGGCACGACCACGTCATCGAATGACGTCACTCTTGGGCAAGCAGCCGGCAGCGGAACATAGCGAACTATGGGAGCGCTGAGCAACTCAGCCCTAAAATGACGTCATGGGATGCTGGAGGCCTCAGCAGAGCTAGCTGAGCCGCTGAGAAAAAAGACACGCCCTGGTTGTTATCAAATGACGTCATGCCGAGACTGGCGTACGTTCAATCTGAATATACTGGGCGCGTTTAGTTGTGACCCGGCGCATGTCTCGAGGTTCATGATTCTCGGCAGGTGCGATGCTTTTCAAAAAGCATTGTACCAGTATTGATGACATTGACGAGAGGTGTCACCATGGAGTAAAATTTATTTTGAAGCCTCAGTGCAAGCGTTGAACTGAGACCCTGGAGTCATGACTCGGATCACAACTGATTGCGTCCACTAGTGTTTCTCACTTGGCCCGGTCACTTGGGCATGAGACGTTCCTCATGCATGAATGTCGAAGTCAAGCAAAAATTAACCTGACCTGCCTGAAAACACCCTTAGCTACCTTGTGTGTTTTTCATGCCTCAATGATTGAGATTATGTTTCCTGGATGAAGCCCCTCTGATATCGATATGCAAACGTGGATTAAATATGCAATCAATTTGAAAAGTATTTTTAAATAATATTTTTGAATCGGTAAATTAAAGCAGGTGAAAGAAATTTAAAGTATTGTTAGACCATGATGAAATCTTCAGCATAAATCTATACCCCCATCTTGCAACCTAGTACACATGAGAGAGGGTGAAGTAAAATGTCTAGAAAGGACAAATATGTTTACATGTGCAAGTTGACTGAGCTTCAGATCCAGGGTGAGGGAATAATTGAAATATTTTTAGCTGAATCTTATTCATAAATAAATAAAGGAGAAATAGAGCCCTTGCTTGTATTATGAGTTGATAAGCAAAACTTTCACAGGGATGAGTAGTTATTCTCTTACGAGTCTTACTGGCCAATGCAGAAAAGTACCCTTCTGGTACTTTTCTTGACTAGATTTTGTACCTGCTGCAATAGGATGAAAATAGTTTACAGCATTTTCTCTCTGAGCTATTCTCACCCAGTATGCAAGACAGAAGTGCCATACTGTTAATTATGCTGAGGTGGATAGTTCCCAGTTCAACATGTTTACTGTCAAGGGGTAAAACACTGGTCTTCCCTGTGACCTTGTGACATGCCACATGGCAGTTAACATTTAAAAATGTTTTTTTTTATTGCAGTGATTTTGTTCTGTATACTGTGTGATAACTTTCTCAAACCATCCTAGCAAATGGTGATTCTTGTTAATTGAACTGATCTTGGAAAGTTGAGACCAAAGATTATGACTATGTAATGAATTACAGTTTAGGACAGGAGGATGCTTCAAGATGTAGGGATGAACTAATCCAGGTATACTTGGTGGGGCAGCTTCAGAGTCTGGATCTCAGCTGATTCAAGTTCAGGTACAAAGGATGCACTGATGCAGGTGTACCCAATACTAGTACCTTCTAGTAGCTGTTAAAACCCAGAATCAAAGTGCTCTAATCCCTGGCTTTCAGAGATCTTACTTATGAGAAGGAGAAAGGCTAGAATGACTTTTTCAATTTTTTTTTAATGTAAGCTTGCAAGTCTTTCTTTTTCTTTGTTCATCTGTTTCTCATATTAGCAAATGGCACCAGAGCAACTAAAGCTGTACCTTTGCAATATGATACATGCTCAGAACATGAAGTGAGATGGCCACACTTCGTTGCTGCTATGCTACTTTATGCTCTTTTTCTTTCACTGAACAGGATGCCAGTTTTCTACCCTCTGTGCTTGAGAAATCTGGAGATTTCTATGTTGGCTCCTGGCAAATGCAGAGGATACAACATGCTTCACATGCAGAAAATCCTTTCTCTCCAACATTTCTTCAAAGAGGTACCTAGTCAAATTCCACTACAATCCTGCCAAGAAGAATTGGAGCCCCAAGATTGTGTTTTTGAAGCTGATCACTTCCCCATGGAAACTATGGCAACACATTTCTCTTCGAAGGAAGGTGAGACCTAATATGCTAGCCTATAACTTGGGACATTTGTTTGAGTGTCAGCCTGAGGTCTGTTATTCATTAGCATAAATAGGATTAATCTTCCTATGGCAGGGAACTTACTCATTCAGATGAAAAATGCTATCAAAAGTTGGCCTTGGCCCACTTGGCTTGAGGAGTCTTTACCTGAAATTTATTGGAACATCCGCAATTATAATTGGTGCAAAATTTTTCAATTTTTTTTTCATTTATGATTACATGAGCTTATGATCAATGGTCTTTGAGGGAGAGTTGGCTTACTTGACTGGTTTTGCTTAGTGCAGATCAACTTCTGGTTTGGATGGTTGATTTTTATTGTCATGGACGCAGTGAGAGTGAACACCTGCCAGGATTATCTCTCCAACGAAACGCCCCATAGAACAGCTTGTTATTTGAATCGCCTCGACGCTCCACGTGCAGCATGACAGGCACAAAGACCGCTTATAGATTTAAGTCGGGGTTGATAATGTGCATGGGGTATTCTGTTTCCATAGGAATTAAATTGGTTTTAGGGATTGATAAATTCTTTATGTAGGAAGATATTGCTTGCCCAGGACGACTACTGCGATATTCTAAATGAAGTTTCACGACTTTCCAACCGTTGGTTTTCTTGTGAAAGTCGAAAGAAGCCTGGGGTATTTGGAATCGAGGGAAGTGAACGTCGGGGTTACGGGAATCCTATTTCTGTCGGTAGAAGCGAAAAGTATCTCATTTTGGAGGCTAGAAAACACGGGAGACGCCAAGGACCCCATATGGGTCTGGTTCAAGGATATATCCTTTCGCCACCTCCTCCACCAGGGCACGAATTTTTTTATTACCCAAGACTATATTTTCCAGACGCGTTAAAACATCGTCAACACCCACTTTGTCCGTAAATCGCATAGGATATATATATATATATATATATATATATATATATATATATATAAATATATATATATATATATATATATATATATAGAGCATAAATTCGCAAGTCGAAGTACTCTGGCGTACTTCGACATACATCGACACAAACGCATGGAATATTTTCGGCGAAGATTCGTTATTTCATTATTCAAAAGAATGTGCATGACCATTGAAGCAATTATAGCCATCGATACGCTCCCTCCCTTGGCGTATAATTCTAGTTTGTGCACAGCGAAACTTCGCAAAGCACGTCAAACTGTCGAAAACACTCTTGTCGACAGTCCGATTGTCGATTACCAACTATGTCGACTGCTACTGAGTTTGAACGAACGGCCGAAATTCGTCGGGAAAACCAATAATAGAAATGAAGGAGGTAAGAATGATATCGCTACATTAGCGGGGTAAAATAACTAGAAATGGAAGGACCAGGACGGCCCCTTCCCTCCCCCCTTTCCCCTGTGCGAGTGGTGCGCCGCACAGGGCACTAATTGGCCGCCAAATCGCTGCAAACTACGAAAAAAGATGTAAATTATCTTGAAATTCACTGAATTAAACATATAAATACTTTATTTTCATTCTGTCACGATGGAAGTTTTCAGAACATCGATGCATCGACCTGAACTGTCGATAGTGTATGGATGCACCGAGGGGGGGGATTCATTAATTTCTCGCCGCAATTGGGCGATCTTGACTTGCGTCATTTCTTGCCTCGATCAGGGCGCGAACCTCTATCCATCGTCCATAATCTCATGACTAATCGGGAGTACGGGGAAAGGTGTGACCTTCGCGCTGAGTAATAAAACCTACCATGCCTCGGAAATGGCATCCATTCATCGATGGGGGTACAGGGATACAGTCTCATTTTTTCCTCTTGCCATCTAGTTTTTATTTTCCTCGTTTTCTTCCTGCTAGAAAGCTTCTTTCTTTCATTTTCTTCTTTCTTGCTTCTTCTTTGGACATCGGCATCGGTAGATTGCAAGCATGCCGATACGTCGGTACAGCCCCAGATTCAAGCTACGTCCTTGCAAAAAAAAAAATTCACTTTGGATTCGCCTTCGTAAAGGAGTAAAGGGGTCCCGTTGCATGTGACGTGCAAAAACTTAAGCCTGCATACTAGAGAGAAAGACTGGAGTATAGAGAGGGGGGTTAACCAATGTACGTTTCAAAGTCAAGGGAGTAAAATTACAGTCCACTATCCATGATTTTATCGTGATATGAAAATGCAAGCCCATGCTGGTCACGCGGCCTCTTCATTCCTCGCCCGGACGGGCTGAACTCTTTATTTAATGAGACATTTTCCCTTCAAACGTGTAGCCGATACATCGCGATGACCGGAAAAACTGGATACCTCTAGCCATCGATGGGGTATCGATGCATCAACCTATTGTGATAGCCTTAATTTTAATGTAAATTAGCATGTTATATATTGTCGATGCTGGTGAGGTATAGAGGTGGGGGATGGATTGATATCTCACACAGAGCGCCAAATATCATTGGTATGGCCCTGCACTTGTGGCCCACTATCTGTTTCGCGTTGTGGGGCATCAGCATGCCCCACTTGGCGCACCCTGGGCCGCCAGAAGCCTTTAACATTAACTGGATGCATTGTCCTTGAGGTGGTCCGACAGCAGATGCAGAATTCCAGTCGCTAAATTACCGTTCCTCCACGCTGCTTGGGACAATAGCCTCTACGTTCCTTGCAACCCAGCTATAACAATTCAGCATATTCATTATTACTTAGGGTGACGTAAGCCTTACCTATTGGCCTGTCATCTTGAATCTGCCTTTTTTTTTGGGGGGGGGGGACGAATTAAAACGAGTTATTTTCCATCTCTTCCTCTAAAACAGTTTTTCTGTTCATTACTCTGGGTCCCCTGAGGGCATGATACCAATTTCAAGATGCACACATCACAACACGATGCAATTCTTTGAAAAATGGCGTTCTCCTCCGCCCGGCTGCGGTCACGTTTTTCACTCGAGTTTTCACTTAATATGAACACTTGTTCATTGAATCACATGCTTGAGTGTCAAGTGAAAAAATGTCTGACATGAGTGAAAAACACTTGCTGGTAAGGTGACGCGGCGTTCCTGCTGCGTACCTTAACTGGTCACCTCAGTTTCGGTCCACTTTCTGCTTTCATTTCGTGTCTTGTCGTTCGAGAAGTGGAGTTCGTTCGTTTTGAGTGTGTTTTTGGTGGTTAATGAGACAGGGCATTTGATTTATTTAAGGCTTTTGGGCACGATGTTGATTGTGGAAGCCTCATTTGAAATCAGGGTTGTGGAGTTAGTTTTTTGTTGCTGTTAATTGAGTAGTGTATGCATGCAATGAATTACAGATGTCACATTTCAATGTTATTTCTATAATTTGAGGCATGCTCTAACTCATTGGATGCACGATAGTAATAGCATGACACCTTGCAAAAGGTGAAATGAATTCATTTGTTAGTCACAGTTGCTGAAGACAGAAGTTGTCCTTGATGATTGTCTTGACAGCTTTGTGAAGTTAGATGTCTTCATGGACATAAATAATGAAAGCAATTTTGTTATCATTGATTGTTGGTTATTGACACACTCACAGATTTGACAAGTAGGCTTAGGTCTCTCTTAGGCCTATCTAAGCTCATATCAGTTTTTCCTTCCAATCTATCGGCTTCACCTGTTGGTTTCAGTGTTGGCAGCAATCACTATTGGGTCCCTGACCTTCAAGGAGGATGAAGGACATATCACCTGGAATAATCATTGTTCTATGTGTTCTATTTTCAACATCCTCAGAGTTTTGGCCAGGTGAGGAAGACTTGAATCGCCATTAACAAGTTGTGTAATAGGCCTACATCTGTTCTATACATTTGAACCCTAAGGCTTTATTGAGGTCTGATATGAACACCTTTCCAGGGAACCCATGTGATTTTGATGGAAATGATATGCTGTGCACCTTATCAGTCCAAGATTTTGACTTGCTTTTGGCCGGATCTAGAAATGAAACTGACATCCACATGTCAGTAATGGTGAGGTGATGTTTCAGCTCTATACTAGGTATAGTCGGAAATAAATATTGCTAATACCTGAGAAGCTTGAGATACGTTGGTGAGACTTGTCTTGGTGGCAAAAAAAGTGAGAAGCAGATGTATTATTTGAGGGGAAAGACTTGCTTTTTATGAGAAATATGCAAACAAAGCAAACAACATGGAGGCTTAAGCCAGAAGAAAATAAACATGAAAATACAAGATTACCTGACTTGATGAAATGTTCTTATCTCATTGAGTTTTGTTTTTTTTCCAGATAATGGATCCATCAATCAAGAGGGACCACACATTCAAAATCAGTCATGATGAATGTGTTCTGCTAGAGAAAGACCTTTCTGAAGGGGATGTCAAACTTTGCTTGACATTTTCCACAGATTCCAAGAGCAACTCTGGTGCCATCAATACATCTGTAATATTGATTTGACATTCATTGCTCAGATATGATATTTGTTACTCATGAGGTATTTATAGCTCTTAAGTCTTTGTTACAGATTTTGTATGGTAACATGTGCTGTTGATTGAAAAAGTCAGGGGAATGAATTGAAAGGTGCTGGAAGTCCAGGGTTTTGTTGACAGTATCTATGAATAATTTTTACAGGTCACTTTGTATGTGGGGGAAGAGAGGGAAGGGCCATTTGAGTGGCCAGACCCAGATCCTGAGTACCACAAATCCAACGAGCAATCTCCTGTCGTTCGAGCCCTCGCAGGTGATTTGCTCTTCATAGGATTACTAGTTGCACCTTTTATCAATTATCAGTGCTAGCCCTGGCACCTAGGACTGGTCATTGTCTGGTAACATGCTTGATGAAATAGTATGAAAGCCATTTTTCAAAGTCCATTTCTTAAGTCAACCTAAGCCTAAACCCATAAATGTCATCAGGTAAGGCTTAGGCCTTCCTTTTTTCTCCTAAGAACATTTCAAACTTTGACTTAATCAGCCAATTATGCCTTTAATGGGCCATCTGTTTATTTTTCCATCATCTTTATTGCTATAAATGTTGTACCAGCTGGTAGGAGAAGCTTCATTGCACAGAAGAATAAAATCCTAATTACTGCCATTTGGTGAATTTATAGAATTTTTGTAAAAAAAAAAAAACTATGAAAAGTCATAGTTTGCTGCAGATTGTTGCACCCAGAAACTGTTGTCCAGAATGTGTTGAGCAGTGAAAAATGAATGACTGAAATGGTTATTTTTTTCTTTTACCAATTACCTCATCATTTTGCAAAATTTTGTTATGCAAAGAATTTAATAGAATTCCACGTAGTTTTTTTTTTAGATTTTCATGAACATGCATCCATTCATCCATGCATTCATATTGGTAAGTAAATCATCCCACTTTGTTTTTTTTTTGTAATATGAAGTCGATATTTTCCATTTTGCAGGAGAAAGGAATGAAACGGGAAACTGGTCTCTGGAAATCATCCTGCCTTGTGTTTGTATCATCTGCATTATCTTGGTCGTCATCATCTGGCACTGGCACTACCACTGCCACAATCTCATGCACCACCAGAGGACTCCCCCAGCCACCAATGGTGAACCTTTCCAGGTTAGTTAATCATTTGAGCCTAGGCACACACATCTCCAGCTTCTATGCTTCCTTCAGTCACTTGGAGTATTCTTTTTTTGGTGGGCCTCCTTTCCTGAAAGGAAAGAGACCACTTAATGTGCCTGTCCTGTCCATCCATGTGTCCTACTTTGGTTGTCTGACAATAACTAAAAAAATATTGGATTGATCAATGCAAAAATTGGCAAGCAGGTAGATATGAACAAGATACAGGCTGAGTTCGTTTTGTTGTGAATTTGCACAAAAATTGGAATTTTTATTGCAAATATTGGATTTGAAATTTGGTCACAAAGGGAAGGCATGAGTACCCATGAGTCCATCAAGATGTGGATCACAATGCACATGCACGTATGACCCAGGCTTTGGCTGTGGCACTGTGTGGGCAACCAGAGCTGTCAATTCCCTTCCAACCTTTGTGCCAGATGCATCCAATCACACATAGCCCTCCATCCTCCCATCATCGTTTCATGGGCACCATTTGTCAAAGTTTACCAAATATAAATGAGAAATGAGGTTTATGATGGTCGAAGACCAGAAGGAGATGGAATTTTGTTCAATTAGGTGAAAAAAATGTGGGTTTCCTTAACTTTTTCCACTCGAATTTTTTTTCATGTGTTTTCTCCGGTAGCTCGTATTTTTTACTACATAAAACAAAAAAATGGAAATACGTAATTTTTAGGATACATGAAAGCACTTGCTCCACAGTGAATCTTGTACGCTTCACCATATCTACAGTATAAAAAATTACGAATGAAGTAACTGGGCATGGGTGTTGCGAACTCATGCAGAACCAAAAAAATCGCACAAGACATAGAAATATGTGTAGAGAGGTGTGATGTGCAGAATCATGGTGTTCCACAGCCTTTCTGCACAGTAGGCTTCAGGCTGCTGAAATGGCTTTTCTTGGAGTCGTTGTCATTTGTAGGAGCCTAGAGGAAGAGTAAAGGCCACCGGGCCAGGAATTGGTGAGGGGAGTGTTGGATATTGAGGTATGTTGGGTGGTGGAGAGGTAAGTTCGTGTGACGGAGAGATAAGTATCGGGTGGTGGCTGTTCTTCCGGCATTTCTAAATCGAACGCCTTCTGGCGATGCAACCTAAGTTGTTAATACATGTGATGGATGGATGGAATGAAGTAACCTTTCCTGTCAACTCGAGATATTATACAAAATTACTAATGAACATAATTTACTGCCAATCCAACTAATTAAAACGACAAGCCAATGACTAATTATGTTAGGAGGCGCTGCGTGGTGCGTGTGCTAAGAAAATCTTTTATACCAATAGCCAAGTCATTATACTACATGGCAGATAAGTTTGGTGCAGCAAGGTGACCCACCCAAGTGAATGAAGAGGCTTTTAATCTGTGGTATACTATATTGCACCAAACGAGTGCAAGAGTCAAAGTACCAATGGGCGAGTGTACTCGCCCATTCAAGTGGAAATGGTTAATGGAAAGGAGGCCCATTACTGGACTTATTTTTATTGGGTAGATTGACTTGTATTAAATAAAGTGAGTCTCCTTATGCAATAACCTCAATTTTTGGGCATGTTATTTTCTGCAACTGTGAGGCTTTGTCGCTATATGGAATGCTAGATCTGCATGCTTGACAAAATTAATCACATCTTGCATATCTGGCTAACATTAAGTTGTTTTGGCAAAAGAATGTAATTTAAACTCTCATGGAACATGTTTTTTCTTTCATCATCCTGTGTCTGCATGAAATTCTAGGTATAGGATGCAATAATTGTGAGACGGGTGTATCTCTAGATAGAATTTCCCTCCAGATGATAAGAGATTTTGCAGGGGCAGGAGGGCACAGAGATGGTGGACAGGAGCAAGAATCACCTAGAATTCCAACCCAGAAGTCCTCTTCAAGATACCATTCCAGCTGAGTGAGTCCACGCCTGGTTCATCTTTTCCCAGTCTGGACTAGTATTGGCAACCAAGACATTGTCAAAAAAAGAACTTGAAATTTTGATTGCACCAAAATCTTGTAGTTCTCAACAAGAATTTGATTAGTTGTCTGGTTTGCTTTGAATCAAGTCAAGTGAGTTCATCTTGGGATGATGATTGTGAAATTCAAATTATTGAAAATCTTACTTTGAGCTTGAAAGTCTGGCTACTGGGAGAAAACTAAAGCTTGAGCTCTTGTTTGATACTATGAGCTGAAAACTCTGTATGATTTTTCTAATTTTTAGTACCATTTTCAATCATACTTTAAAAATTATGATGAAAATTGAGATGAACAAATTTGTTTTTTTTTTTTGCAGGGGAGTGGAGAACCCAGGGTTCCAGATTTGAGTGCTCCCAATGAAGAAGAGAAATCTCTTATGCATGTGATTATTTCTCCTCCATCCAATTGTGATTCTGTCTTCCTTCTTATTCCACTCTCTTGCATTCAAGAAACCAATCCCAAAGCTCAAGTCAAAGAAGGAAACTTGGAGTCCATCTACAAGGGTCCCTCAAAAAGTTTTGCCTCACATTTTTTATCTCTACCAAAAATGATCAGGAAGAGCTGAAATTTGGTGTAGGAATAGTCATATCCCTTATTTACAAGAATTGTTTTTCCAAGTAATCTCCATCTTTTTCTATGGCTTTCCGCCACCTGGAAACAAGGGCCCATATTCCTTGTTGATAAAAGTCCTCTGGGGTCTGTCAGAGCCACATTTTCACCTCCTTGATAACCTCTTCATCATCCTTGAACTTTTGTCCACGAAGGGCATTCTTCATTGGACCAAACAGATGGAAATCTGATGGAGCCAAATCCAGGCTGTAAGGTGGATGGGGCAACACAGTCCGACACAGTTCTGTGATGACTTCTGTTGTTCGCAAACTTGTGTGTGGTCTTGCATTATCGTGTCAGTTGTCAAGGCCAAAGTTGGGTGGCTGCTGTGGCATCCAGGTTGGCGTTCCCTCTTTCTGACGATCTCACCCATTTTGCCCAGTGTCCAACTGTATTCTATCAACAGTGCAGTCTCCGTAAATGTTTTTTTTTTAGACGTTTATGAATATTCCCCACTGTTTCCCCCGCAGCCGTTAGGAACTCGATGACAGCTCTCTCTTTGCAACGCGCTTCACTATCAGGTGCCATTTGAAAACTTATTACACCCATGCCATCTGGCAAAATTTGAAAAAACTTCATCATTTAAAGTGGGAAAGTTCAAAATTGATGTACACCAAATTTCAGCTTTCTGATCATTTTTGGCCAAGGTAAAAAATGTGGGGCAAAACTTTTTGAGGGACTCTTGTATCTTGTTAGTATCAGGTCACATATCTCAATTGCACTGAATCTGTTATACCTGTGTTTGCATGATTTTATAATCTTGTGGGTGTATTTTTATGGAGGCCCAAGGGCTTTTTAAAGACTTGTAGGATGGAGATGGAATCTCTAATGCATTTCAAAGGAAATATTTGCCTTCCCTCTTCAAAGGAAAGAATTCATCTCCAGTATCCTGTCTGGAGACACAGGAATTCATTTGATATACAGTAAAAACTCGTTAACTGATAAGTTGAAATTCCGCTTATCTCGAAGTTCAATGCTTGGTCCTGGCCGAATCCCGTAAGACACCATGTTAAATATTCTGTTTAACTCGAATTCGCTTACCTCAAATTTCCGGATATCTTGAATGAAATTTTCACTCCCGATGACGATTTTCTCATGGTTAACTCGAAATCGGGGTGTGAAGGGGGAAAAACTATTGTGGGACCTATCGATTTTTTGAGTAGGTGAAAGGCAAGAAACCTGTTTGGGAGAAAATCCTTTTGTTTCTTTTTTTCTTCTGCTTCCCCCTCCTCCCTTGTAGATGCCTGTGGAGAGGATTAAAACCGAAAAGCTTCTGCTATAAAAAGAAGCAACCTCTTGCACTTTCCCTGTCTGCCTATCACTCTCACTTCCGGCAATTCCAGTCATTTGGTTTCTGGAGTACCGGATGAAGGGCATTGTGATGAGTAAACTTTGCATATGGAGTATCAAAATTTCCATAGACATGAATAAAAGCCAATTATAATGAGAAGAGAGTCACTCCTTGAAATTGGATTCTTGAGGATGGAAAAATCGCTCTATTATATCCCTTAACACAAGTAATTTCCTTTTTTTTTATGGTTAGAGGCAATTTCTGATAAGTTGAACTTCGGATAACTCGAAACGATTTGCCTGGTCCCCAAAAGTTTGAGTTAACGAGTTTCTACTGTAACTGAAATTTTGGTAAATCTGCTTTTATTGTTCCAAATGTTTCAGTGTGGGGGTTTTTAGACAGTGAACTAAGCAAAGCAAAGGATATTATTATACTTGTTTCTTGATACATCCATCATCCTTATACTAAGATTTGACTCTGATGAAATGAGAATGTATGCTGCCACCACCTTGGTTGCCAAAAAGTATGTCTTGCTATGGTTGTTAAAAAGTACAGGTATGCTTCTCTTTTTCCTGATGGACTCCTTTCCCTTATCTTCTCATTCCATAAAATATCTTATGCTTTCCTTGATCTTCATATTTATGGACATGGACAGTGCCATTTGATTAATTGATAAACTGGGTTTAGTGGCCAAGTGGTTCTGGCTGTGGGCATTTCCTACATTGACAGCTGACCCACCTGCTTTCATGCATGCCATTCTGTGTGCCACATTAAAGAGATACAGATGCCATACATTGTGATCACCACTCATGCTGGTTGTGGGCTTAGGCAACCTTTGAGCTGGCCCTTGATCTCCTACAAGACTGTAGAATGGTTTCACAGGGCAGGACTGTGATTTGAGTGGGTGGTGCCCATGCCAAGTGAGCACCTTTCTCTGTGTATCATTGTATGTGTATCAATTCATCCATTGCCATTTGTGTCACCACCTGTCCTGGTTTGTTTGGTTGTTTTTTATATTTTTTTTTATTTAAAGAAAAAACATGGGTGGTTGTGATAGCATGTTGTTGAAATCCCCATAGGAAATAAATATCTTCTTGTGACCTGGATTTTTGTTCTCATTGGAAAGACAGCTGGACTCATCCAGGCATGTACAAGGCAATATTAAAGTTGGTTGGTGTACATATTTTTCTAGAACAAAAGCTATGCACTACAGCTGAGTGAAACTAAGTAGTATTAATACCCACCGAGAGTGCTATGCAAAATGGAAATGCATACCTCATAGGAACACTGTGATGTCTAACATTTCTGGTGAAAAGTGCTCAATATTTCTCCACAATCATTTTTAACTGGTGTCCAACATTGGAGACTGCAGCTTTTTACACGTCACTTGGAACTGACTGTACCTGTCGGTGAATGAGACACTCATGACTTAAGAAATTCTTCCAACAAAAAGTAAGCTGAGTTTGGATCTATGGATCCATTGGGCGATGGTCACTGTGTCAGAGAATGTTAACTGTCACAAAATTTGTCAGCACCGTCGCAGGAGTTGCAAGTTGTCCTGTGCCATTGTGCATGAATTGTGCATTATTACCTGCAGCAATGGCAAATTTTTCATTTTTGGTTACTCAGCCTGCAATGTTAATTTTCATTCCAATGTGACCTGCCACGCTGAAACTTTAAACACCTTTGGCTGTAAAGTTTTAGAGGTTATGCCATTTCAATCACATGTAGCCACATGCTTGGCTGGTGAGATTTTGCTGAGGTGCATTTCATGAGAGGAATCACACAAAAAGAATTTAAGATTCATTGAACTGATATTTCGTTGTTATTCGAATGAATGTTGTTAGGATTTTATAACACCTTGATAACATTTTCCAGTTGCATTTCATTTGAATTCATGGTTTCTTGTGGCGCCCGTTGGACTTTTAAAAAAATGTCTCAAGTTTCCTCTGGTAATTTCTCACTTCGAAAAGGCCATATCCAGTGCCGTATTTTATGGGGGACAGCCTTTGAAAATGCCTAGCATCCCTCTGGGTAATTTTTTCGCCCTTGAGAACTTTCTCTCATCACGCATCACCCCCATCACCTTTTCCTTTGAGCAGGCGACACGACTTGGATTAATTTGCCCTATAGGATGTAATTCCCCAAAACAGCTCAGAATATCGTATGCCCGTGAAAATCTTTGTGCGACAGAGGTCGCGTGGGGTGTCACATCTAGCCGACTATCATAGGAAGTCCATCCTCCATGGCGTCAGAGAAAGTCCCATATCGAAACCGGCTTCAGACAGAGGCCGCTGATCAGACCCTAGTAAGAGTTGCGATTAGTCGTGAAAATGCACCAAAGAGGGCCCCACAATTCAGCGTGGTGAGTTAGGTAGGGGCCTTCACGGGGCTCAACGCCTGAGGATGACGACCCGTCCTTTCATTGCAGTGGCTGGCGTGTCTCGGTCCACGTCACGATGGCTGAATGTGGGACTCACCGGTTTGCGTGGCGGCTGGGTGCTTTTGGCGGGGCGGCGTGTTTGGCATCGCGTGGTTTTCGCTGCATTCGCTAGGCAACTCCAGCTAGGAATGCAAAAAGCACGGATGTCCTAAAACTGACGCTTCGTTTGGCAAAATAGAATTAGGATTTTAAAAAACTCGACGCTCCAAAAATGTGACATTTCGTGAAAACGCGTCGTCTCTAGAAAAAAAGGGTCTGATCGTGATGTCTAATCCCCCAAAAGATGAGAAGCGAGAGCGGAAGAGTCTCACCCGGCGAGAGAAACCCCGAGCAGAAGCCCACCGGACACGCACTTCGATGCTCGCCTGAGAGCGTCAGGCTCTTCGTACTGACTCGCGCCCTTCGATTATGGGAGAATGGGGGGACGTGAGTCAGTTCGGGAGAGTTTTTCTCGGAACGGCTTCACGGGGTTCAGCTTTCTCTTCACGCTGTCTTCCACGAAATCACTCACGTTTTATGAATCGGGTGTCGCTTCGAATACGCCGCTGAAAGAAGGGACATGGGGGGGGGGGGGGGGAAAGAGGGTTGAGGGTCATGGGCTGCTGGGGTCATTCTCACGCGTTTTCTCGCTTAATCAAGAGCCTTGGGGTGAAAATTGGAGAGATTGAATGTCTCCATCCAGGCGATTTGGGGGACTGCACTAAATCCGAAGCATCGATGAATGGTTCATTGTTATTGGATGGAATCGGATGCCTCTGCATCCGATTCACTTAAGATATACAGGTCAGATCTCGTTACGACGAACTTCTAGGCGGTGTCCACATTATTTCGTTCTACTGAAATTTCCTTGTATCGAATATTGTTCGAAATAAGTTGAAAAGAAACGTTCTTTATTCATATTAGCTATGCCTTCCGACGCACAGACCACAGATGCAGTCATATTTTCAACTTTATTTCGTTTGGAGAAAATGTGCAATTTTGGATTGCACTAGAGTTGGTGTTGCCTTGTCGACTGTGGTCGTAGAGTGCACCACGCATTCTCTTTCGTTTTGGTTCCAGAGCCGCTTTCCTCACCTTTTATTCGATTTTGGCACGATCCTTCGAGAACGTGGATCACGTAGAGGGAGTGATGCGGAATTATTTTGCCGCGTCTCCTTTTTTCCAGCCGGAATCTATTGCTATTACTACTACTTTCATTTTTTCTTCCGACGAAAACTGCCGGCGTTTCTTTTTTCCCCCGTCTGCGAGGTGGGGTGCTCACGTGCGCCGTCGTAAGTGATGAAGTTTCGGCCACGACTAGCGCCGACTACTGTACGATCCTCCTTGCGCTGCCACTATTTATGTCACAAGCGTGGGAAACAAGAGAATTCTGACTCTCTCTCGGTCCAAAGGGAAGGAGGGGGCCGGCGCGAACCGCAGACGATCGGGACCGTAAACAATCAGGTCTTAAATATTTTTTCGTTATAACGTTACATACGTACAAGGACTCGAAAAAAGCATTCGTTGTACTGAATTATTCGTAGTAACGAATTTCGTCGTAACGAGATTTACAAAGTACTATTACCATGGGCCGTCGGCAGGGGCTTGGAAATATTTTCGTCATGAGATTTTCATCGTAACGGAATTCGTTGTAACGAGATTCGACCTGTAATATTACGCCAGCTTGTCGCTGTCATGCCAGAACTTGACAAATAATTTGAAAATGGATCGTCGGTGCCGTGCCATCATTCATCGGCTGCATTCCACGATCGTGACCTCATCCGGGTGATGAGGTCATGCCGATTGATCCCAACCAGCGGTTATCACTCGCAATTCTGATGCGACCCGGCAACTGTTCACTTGAGACTTCAATAGCCGCTGGAAATTTGCGGAAACCTCCTTTGCAGATCCAGCACAAACCTCGACCCTCGACCGACTCAAACCTCGAAGTTGAGCACAGCTCACTATATAGAAGGAAAATTTCCCCTTCCGAGAGACGCTTCGATGAGAAGCAGGGCTTAAACAGTAACATCCTTTTTTGACTTCCCTTCGAGAAGCATCCTTCTGCCCTTTCGATTTCAGTCGGAGCAGCTGGGAGGAATGGAGGCATGCGACCACCGAGTGTCATTCATCTAAAGGTTACCGTTAGCGACGGAAGATGGCATCTCGGTCGTCACCTAGTGAGTCGCCCGTCGAGAAACTCAACCACGCCTCTGAGATCATTTGCAAGCGGTATCTAATTTTTTCTTTCGTAGAACAAAGAGGAAGACATTGGAATCCGACGACATTAACGTCTTAAGCTGAAAGCCAGCCCAGGGAGACGCCAGGCAACACTGGACCAACGGATGAAAGAAGAATTCAGTCATATAATTACTTGGAAGAAAACTAACAACGAACCGCTACTGTTTGCAGTTGCTGACTCCTTCGTGCCCCCTTCTTCTGTAGCCAGTTGCTCACTCTGGACCCTCAGAAGGAATTCTTCTGTCGGAGCGCATGGACTTTTCTTTTCACGTTTCCCATTTTCGTTTCACAGAGATTGCCAGTTCGATCGTGAAGAAAATGGCCAGCTTTTTCGGCCGGGTACAACACAGCGCGTCTCACTCCAGTTGTCAGTTTCGCATGCAGCTTTGAGGTCCCTCGCGGACACCTCCGTTTCCTTCGCTCTAGAAATCGCACTTCCGGCTCACTCGGCCACTTCATCATCGGCCGACCGAGGATTGCTGACTCAACTGTCCATCAAGAAGCTGAAGCGTAGCATTTCATGGCATGATGTGCGCACTCAAAATTTTTTTTTTTTGCGTCTTGTAGCCACGTGGAGAGCCTTCAACGATGTATCTGTAAGCAGACTCGCCCCCATCTCGAGTCACTGCGACGAAATCCACTTCCATGGGGAGAGCAGAATATTTGGAATCGAAATTGTAATTTTTCTGCCTTTTTAGTAGGCCTGAATTTAATATAAAATTTCCTCAGTTATGAACCTCCAAAAATTAATTAATTAATTATAAATTAATACGAATAATTTATAAATTAACCTGCGGTCGACGCCACAATATGAAGATGTCGGACAAGTCGTTCCAGCACGACCCAGCCCAACAGACGCAAAAGTGCAGCTGAGGAAAACGGAACAGACGACCGGACATCCTCTGGATGTGCGCAGGATGTCATGGAAGTTCATAGGATGTCATAGAAGTTCAAAGGATGTCATGGAAGTTCATAGGATATCACCGCAATTATCTCATTGGCGCTGAGCTTCATCTGGAATTCTTGTACGCCTTACCTTCAATCGTTGCGATTTTATTGAAAATTTGCGGAATGGCGACACGAGCATGTCATTTCCGGAGTTCTTTTTTAAATTTTCGTTCGAGTCTCTCGTCTTGGATTGAAACCCCACGACTTCATTCGTATCGATAGCATACTTGGATCCGTATTTCATTAACGGAACTCGAAATATGAACGACAGGATGGGTTAGTTCGTCTTCGAACGCCCAACTGACATACGGAGGCTCCATTGCTACCTGTAGGACTGATGCACCCAACCCAACTAGTGATTTCGAACCAAAATAAATCCGTTGGATATCCTCCTCGGATCATCCACCGGACGACTAAACGTCTCGTCCGAGGATGATCCTTCGGATATCCATCGGATGTCCGTTTCCTCGGACCCATCGGATATTCCCTTTGAGAAAGCCCTCGGATGACCATCGAGGGATGCAACGATTGCCATCCGCCACCTTTACCGGATCGTGGGTCGGCACATCGCCAGTTGGCTTTGTTCGTGGCGGACCGTCAGTCGTGAAGGGACCCGATGCCGAGTCCGTTTGCAGCTCCGTGATCTCGCTTCAGCGTACTTCCCCGGTACTTCCTCACTTGCGAGGCGCGTGAAGGCGTGAAAGCCGGTCGCTCCCCTCGTCCTTCTCGTCCTTCTCGTCCTTCCGTCTTTTCGGGATCTTCAGAGGAGCAGGGTGGAACTGCGAAGGAGGAGAAACTCGAATATCTACAAGGTCGGGGGGGGGGGGGTTGACGTCATGGAAAAGGCTCATCCGCTTACGGTATCGCGTTACTGCAGTCGCTCGTTCGGGCGGCTCGGGGATACGAAACGATTCAATGATTCATCTGTGCCCGATGTTTGTGTCATTTTTGGGCCTCTGAGACGTCGCGTCTTGCAAATTTTAGCGCGTGAAACCGAGACGGCTTTCCAATTATGTAGAATTCGCCGTGATCATCGTCTCGAAATTCCAGCAATTAACGGGAAAATATGAGCACCAGGTGCTCGGAAAACCTTTTTTTTTTTAGAACTGAAATATTTAATCGACTTCACCTCTGGTCGTTCCTTGAACTGCGAACGGATTCACAGCAGACGCAGCAAATTTATTATGTAACAAATTTGTTTATGGATGACAATCGTTCTATCAGTGAAGCTATATATAAACTGTCGCCGCCAGAATAATTATAAACATCCACGCGGAAATAAAACCGTCGAAATGACCTCGATGAACGCTTCGGTGAATCTCGAAAGAATCCGAGTAGAAAGCCCAGAGCCCAAACGAGGAGAAACTAGTTCACCCATTTTAGCTCTCCTAGCCTTCCTGCGATTTCGAATCGGAGCCTTTTTTTTTTGTTGAAGGCATATGATGAATGCAAAACACCGAAAAGTATTGAAATTCGTTCATCCGCTCGTACGTACCGACGTCTATTCCTGGCACGGTCACTCCCCGCTGCATTCTCTACTAAGACGACTTGAATTGCGTGGAGTCACGGTCTACCCTTGGCGCATGCACGCGAACGCTCTCAGATGAAATGGGAACGCCGGAACATGCACAAGGACGAGAGGAGGGGGGGAGGGGTGGAGTGCAGACTGTTGCGTCAGATCCCGAGCGGCAGACCTGTCGCGAACACTCTCTCTCTTTGTGCCTGTGCGTGTCTCTCTCGCCCTTATATAGGAGGTCTACGCTCTTGCGTCCGGATGCCTGGCCGGCTCCTTCCCGTTCCATTGCGTGAGACTCCGAGGCTTCTCTTCTGTCGACGAGAGGTATAAGAGGGATAAGTTTTTCGATGCGTCCATTGGCAGTTTCTACCGATTATGCTTTCGTATACTGTACGAGGTACTCTTGCAACTCTCGCGCCTCTGGCGCTCAACGTTGGTTCTAAATTTCGTGGCTTTTAATGTGTCGTAAACTTGCGAGCGCGGCGCTCGCAGCCGTGAATTAAAGCGGTAAGACTCCCTAAAATTTAGATTTGTTACATTTTCGATGTGACGTCACGGTACTGCTAGTTATTTGGCGCCTCTGAAAAAGTTTGGGGTTAGTAGCATTAAAGTACCATTTACTTTACCTCAAAGACTCCTTTACTAATTTACAACTTTCTATGTCAATTTCAGCGAGTTTGAGAAA